GGGGGGGAAAGAGCAATATATTTGGGTTTCTTCACCTCTTTCATGGTTTTGCAAATCTCCACCTACTATTTTTACATAACAAAGCACCCAAAATCTAGCAGCATGAAAAACAGTTAAATTCACAGATTTCACAGGTTCCAAATCCAGGAACCTACAAAAGGATGGGGCATGACATCCGGGGCTTCCACTGGGGGTGACTCAACAGCTAGAAGCTGGACTCCTTTGGAGGAATTTCCCCTTCCCTGGCTGGGAGTTGAAGCTGGTTGTCAGTTAAAACAACCAAGGCTGTTGACCTAAGAACACATTGCTTCTCTGTGACCCAAACTCTATCACAACGCCACAAACCACTCAGATGGCAATCAGAGTCACAAAACCTACAGAAACCACATTGCCTGTTAGACCTAACCTCCATCATCTCCTCTGTACTCTGTTGAGCCAAGCATTCATCAGCACATGCAAATTCAAGGAGAGAGGGCAGAAGCCATGCCTTAAAGGGTGGGTACCAAGGCCACAGTGTGGGGAAGTCTGTGCAACGGGCAATATTCTGGTGTCCGGTTTTGGAAAACGCTATCTCCCATACATACTAGCTTTGATTCACTAAAGGCCAATGTTTTTAAAGACTACGTACTTTATAGAAAAGTAGTGAGTGACCCTCGCCTCCTGCCTGTTGATTTGGAAATGTTTACAGAAATACGCCCATGTCTTCGAAAGGTCACACAAATTACAAAGCTTAAAGTATTTACTATCTGATCCTCTAAGGCAGGGCTTGCTGGCTGTAGATGGACTATTGACTAAGCATGGGCCCTGGAGAGTCCCCTCGCTGTTCTGGAGGTGGCCACTAGTATGGTTTTGGGCAAGTTACTAGGTCTTTGTAGATCATCTTTTCCCCCACTTTTATAATGGGAGAAATGGTGAAACCTGACATTGAATGTGAGTATGAAAGGGAAAGGAGCATGGTAAGCATGGATAAATGTTAGCTCTTGTTATTAGAATTATCTTAAAACATCAGCCAGGTCAACTGGTCATCCAACATTGTCCACTTGTGTTCAAAGTGTCCTCTACTACCGATGTTAACACATCCAGTGATTCAGGGAGCCCATGTTGACTTCAGTCATTCTGTCTATTAGAAAGTTCTTCCTACCATTGAGTTGAAGTCTTTATAGCTCCATTCTATTAATCCTAATTCTCTTTGAAGTGCTATAGAAAATCTCCACTGAATACTAGGTTCTTCAATAAGGGAAAGGGATTTCTTGGAATTTCGCCTTATCAAGATTACATATCTCTAGTTCTTTCTATTGTTCCTCCTAAGACACAGTTTGTATCCCTTGTCCACATTATGTGTATGCAGAAACTAGCCTAAGAATTCAGGCAGGTAGAACAGGACCTACTAAACTCTCTATGCTAGTGATGTTTGTTTTATGTTACTCTTAATTCTGCTCTGGGAGGGCTGATTTTTATATGCCCTAGGGCAAGTCTGGATATCTAGTCACATTATGTTTAATCTCACAGAGCTTGAGCTCTCAAGAGCTTTCCCAAAGCTGGTAGGACTGGGATGTGGAATGTCCCTGCCCCTCCCAGACAGAGCCATAAGAACATTTCTCTTGTCCTGATCTAAAACATGACTAGGTAGTTCAAGGTGAACTTGATGCCCTGAGAAGTCCTGAGCTCACTTAGAGCAATCGAGTATTTTTTTTTAAGATTTATTTATTTAGTCATACAAAATTGGGGGACAGGCCAGAGGTGCAGGGGCAATGAGAGGATTCTCCAGAGACAGAGCGGGGAGCAGGACAGGCTGACTGATGAAGCACACTGCTGAGGGGAGCAGCGGGCGGGTGAGGAGAGGTCTGCTGCGCCATGTGGGTCATCTCCAGGTTGGGGATCGAACTCATGCTGAAGTGGCTTCAGCTTCTTAGTGCTGTGCTTTAACCTGCTGCGCCACCAAGGAGGGCCCACAATTGAGTATTTTTAATCATTGAATTTCCTTCCCTTTGGGCTTCCATTCTCCCCAATCACTATTTGTTCACCAGTCTCATGTGGATTGTCATTCATATTAATGAAAGAAGATGGAAACAAATATAAGTTAGGGAAAAAAAACATTTCTTTTTCTCTTTCTACATGACCCTTTAAAACAAATTGTACATCTGTATGAGTCAGGGCTCTGCAGAGAAACAATATCGAGAGGATATGGGGAGGAAGCAAAAGAGAGAGAGAAGTTTCAAGGAATTGGCTCACATGATTGTCAAGGATTAGTAAATCCAAAATCTACAAGGGAGATTAGCAAGGCTGATGTCAAGAACTGGTTGGAAGTCCATCAGTTGAAAAATTAATCTCATCCAAAACACTCTTATGGAAACATCAGAATAAAGTTTGATTAAATGTCTGAGCACTGTGATATAGTCACATAAAACCAAACTTTATGGTATCTAACTCTTTTCCTTTTTTTTTCTGCAAATAAAATATTTAAAAATCTAGTATATTAATGAAGCATAAATTTATGTTTTGTTAAGTAATCCTTTTACAGGAAAGTAGTCTGTTATCTAAAAATGTGAGTAATTGTATTTCTGTCTGAATGGGCGGCCTGCCAAAATGGGACCATTTTTGCTACTAAACACAAGCACAGAATCTCAACATGTACCTTGAGTTTAATATTCCCTGATCTGACACCACTAATCAATTATTTTCCAGACCTGTGAATAGATCAAGGATGGAGAGAAAATAGAATGCAACTATCATTTTTAAGTTTCAGAACCTAGATATAACTTAAAATATGCATATATCTAGTTTCATTTGCCCTTTCTAGAAATTTCTTTTTCATATTGTAAAATAAAAATTTCAATATATTTTCTTAAATGATTTCACAAGTTTATCATAACAAATATAAACAGAAGTTCAATGCAAGACCTGTGACAAAATTCTAGTAGGATTTTTTTTTTAATTGCCAATGCTGTCCATAGAAAGTAGATTTTACTGAGCTAGTATTTTGGTTCTATACTTTTATGAATCCAGACTTTTTGAAAATGTGGTATTCTTTTTTGGTTAGGCACTTATAAAAAATGCAAACTATTATACTTAGTTTGACTCACAGACTATAAGAAATTTGGAAATTTTTTTATACATTGATAATAATTCCATTGTTGTGGGAGATTTACTATTCTCTTTTGTTATACTTTCAAATTTCCCTTCTTTAGGTTTGGATGTGTGGAGGAGAAATGTTTGACGTTCCGTGTTCTAGAGTTGGTCACATCTACAGAAAGTACGTCCCTTACAAAGTTCCATCTGGGACCAGCCTGGCAAGAGTGAGTAACTGGGAGCTGAACAAGTTGGACTTGATGATGGCTTTCTGAAGACAGACTAAGGGTACAGTTTAAGGCATTTTGGCAGAAACACCAGACCAAAATCAAAACTCCACACTTGCCAGTCCACTTAGTGGGTTTAAGCTTTTAGAGAGTTTTATTCCCATTTCTTAAGTATATGATGCTAATGTCTGTTATTCATTGCTTCAAAGCACTTTCACAGGTAACCTACTTATTCTTCACCAACCGGAGTTGGTATTCTGACCTTTATTTTGTAGATGGCAAAGCTGAAGATCAGCAAGATGGCTAGATCATGCTCACATGAAAGATAAATAGCAAAGTAGTATTTTAAGACCGGGTTTGGGAACGGATGTCCAGTTCCTTCCCCCGCCCCGAGTTAGATGGCAATGGGAAAAGTGGGAGTGGGGGAGGGGCACCCAAAGTCCACTTTCTCATCTCTAACTGGGCATCTCTGTCTAGAATATCTCCTCCATCCTCAAAATTCCAAAATTAGCCAACCCCAACATATTTTTTCAGCTATTGTTTTGAACAAAATGCTTTTCATAGATGAAATGCAAGAATGCTTTTCTACCTTTCCTTTTTTTTTTTAAAAGATTTATTTGTTTATGCATACAGAACTGGGGTACAGGCCAGAGGCTCAGGGGTGGTGAGAGGCTTCACTAGGGACAGAGTGGGGAGCAGAACAGGCAGATCGACGAAGTACACTGCTGAGGGGAGCAGCGGGCGGTGGGTCAGGAGAGGTCTGCCACGCCATGTGGGTCACCTCGGGGCGGGGATGGAACTCATGCGGAAGCGGCTTTAGCTTCTTAGTGCAGTGCTTTAAACTGCCGTGCCACCGAGGAGGGCCCTGCTTTTCTATCTTTTAAGTGTTTCCATACATGCTTGGGAGAACATAATACCTGAACATAATACCAATCCTGGCCATTTTTTTTGTTCTCAATGCTACTTTCTCCACAGTCAGGTTAGCTGTACCTGCCCCAGATGCCCTTGCCACTGCTCAAATGCAAATACAGAAAGAGGTGTTCTCTGCATCACTTTGCACAATATTTGCCTACGACGCTAATCCCAAATTACTCACTTGGGGTCTCTTCCTGGTTAGGCCACAACATACATCTATGTGAGTCTTTGATAGGAAACTCAATAAATTCACAAAACAAGTTATGTTGAAACGTATGCCAGGTTAGCGATAAGCTAGGACTGACATAAGACATCAGTCCCACATGGCAAGCTCTTCTCCCAACACTACAACTAGGCCCGGTAAGAACTCAACCAACATTTCCTGAAAGATCTAATTATCAGCGAGAACTTCGACAGGAAAATGCTGCCGGGGCAAGTTCTACCTAAAGCGTCAGCAGGTTCATGAAGTGTAAGATTTTCATTTACAATACTGAGACTGCTTGGGGGAAGGAGCAGCCTTCCTTACTCCTTTTCTGAGATTATTTGCCAACAGTTTATTCCTCCTTAGGCAAGACCTACTGTGACAGAGCAGGGAGAGAGGCACCACTGAACCCCCAAACCTGCCTGCTCTACGTGGGTTCTGCCATCCACCGCAACCAAGACAAAACATGTCAGACTTTAATGAAAAGGGACTTTAAAACAGTAAATATACAATACGGAAGACAAAGAATATAATTTCTAAATCAAACACCTGCAGTTACCCATCCCCTCGTGGGCAAAAGTCAACCCAAAAGGGACTTTTGGCCCAGAGCAAGGCCTGAAAGCCGCCACAAGCCTAAAGCACCTTCTGGCTGGGACCCATAGAAAAGGGTCAGACATGGCCAGACAAGTCTGGGAGGAAAAGAGCACAGTCAAAATTAAGATAAACAACGTCCATTGTCAACTTCCCCACAGGTCTCTCACCCACATCTGTGTCAACCAGTCCAGGGCCAAGAAATAAACACGGTTTCTTTCCAAGACTCCCTCTGCTCCCTGTGGCTTCCTTGGGTCTCCTTCTGGCTCTCCATCCTGCTTCCTTCCTCCTCAGATTCCTCTTCTTCTCCTCACTTCTCTGCTCAGCTCCACCCTCCTTCTGGGTGGGATGGGGACCTGGAACTTCCCCTTTTCCTGAGGATCACCCTGTTACTCTACTCCCTTTAGAGCAGGGACAGAAAACAGTCTGTGAAGTCAACTTCCCCACTCCCTGATGGGACGCGGTCATATTTTCTACCTTTCGCAAAAATTGAGTCAGATGTTAGACATTCTCCACTAAGTAGCCAAAGAGACTCCTCCATCACAAGGCTGGTCCTTAACAGTGCAGCATTGCAACTGTTGTTGCTTCAGTACAAGTTGGATCCCCAGCACGGGAGGTGACCCTCATGGCTCAGCAGACCTGTCCTGTCTCGCCCGCTGCTCCCCTCAGCAGTGTATTTCGCTGATCTGCCTGTTCTGCTCCCCCCTGTCTCTGGAGGATCCTCTCACTACCTCTGCACCTCTGGTCTGTGCCCCAGTTCTGTATGCATAAATAAATAAATCCTTAAAAAAATAAAGCTACATTTTGATTAGAACCTAGATTTAATTTAGTCCTCATAACTACTACTCAAGAATCTGAAAACTCATTCAGAGGAACAAGAATCCACAAAACGGTCAGTGAACTCTTTTGACCATCCATGTGCCAACGACAAAAAAAGTAAAATGCAATGTCCCAAAATGAACAAGGAGATGCCCTCTGTCTTTCTCACTCACTCAAGAGGTCCCCAACTGTGTCCCAATCCAAGCTGTGCCTTTGCAGGGTGAGCGGTGTGTGTCTTGTTTCTACTCAAAATAGAGTGGAACAGCTGGGGGAACAGTTTACTGACCTGAAAAGGTTTATTTTCAAAAAATTAATCTGGTCACATATTTTTGAGTAAGAAATAAAGTGCTTTTCAAGGACTGTCACATAGAGAAAAGCTAGGGTTAGCCTATAAAATATCCAGCAAAAAGTATTTATTCAAATGCAAAAAAGTCCATAATTCTGATTTTTAATCTTTCCCACTTAAATTTTATTTGAGGGCTCATCATTATTTTTTTCTGAACTGCTAGAGCAATCAGAAAGCCATAAATATTAAACTTCAACTGTCACTCTAAGCAACATTTTATGAGTTTCTAAACAGAAAAGTACACTAAAATGAAAAACAATTCTGATGTTTTGTGGGAGAACCTCAAAAACGGCTACACCCTGCATTCTTACTAAATCAGCAAGAAGTGATGACTTTGAAGATGCTTTCTCTGCTTACCAGGTAGCTCTCATCTCTGTAACCTCATTAGGAGATGGAAGGAAGTCTGCACCGAAGGCTTGTGTTCTGATTTCACAGAGTTCTCTTAATTCTTTAAAACATGCATCTTTCACTTACGAGCCTACATCAATTAGGACTCCAGTGGATTTCAAAAACACACACGTGTGTGTGAGTGTGAGTATGTCAACAGCCCACAGTCCTCTAAACAGCATATAGGTGTATATTACAGAACTAAATTCAATTAATTGCGCCCTCCCTATGGCGCAAAGGGTTAAAGCATAGCACTAGGAAGCTGTCCACAGCCACTGTGGCACGAGTTCGATCCCCAGCCAGGGAGGTGACCCACATGGTGCGGCAGACCTCTCCTGTCTCACCTGCTACTCCCTCCGCAGTTATTTCAGTCAGTCAGCCTGTCCTGCTCCCCACTCTGTCTCTGGTGAATCCCCTCACTGCCCCTGCACCTCTGGCCTATACCCCAGTTCTGTGTGCATAAATAAATAAATCTTTAAAAAAAAACAACACTAAATTCAAATAATTATTCAGTGCCTTCTGTGTACAATCTAGTTAGAAGACACTATATTTTCATACATGAAGCCAACAGACAACAAATAATTTTCAAATTCGTTGTAGTGATATATAACAGGGAGAGGGTAGAGGAAGGGACCAGGGTTCCACAGCTTTTGAATCGAAAGAGGATTCCAGGAATAAAGGAAGAAGGTTCACAGAATAGTGTTTCTCAAGCTCAGGACCAGTGTCCGGCACTCTCCAGCCAGTCCTAGGGAACTGAGCAAAATAAGCATCCCAAAGCCAAACCTACTCAGTTCAGTGTCACCTTTTCAACACTGTAATTACAGGCTTCGCTTTGTATGGCAGGACACTGAGCAGTAGATCTTTACTAATGGCATTATTGGCATAGATAGAAATTAGTACCCCCGTCAGTTCCCCCCAAGTGCGTAAGTCTGGCCCACAGGGGCTTACACCTGGGCCTCACCTGGGAACCAGACCGCTCACTGGCCTCCCATTGGTAAAACTAGGTATGTTGCCAAAAGGCCTCAGAGTTCAGTGCCAGCCAGCTGTGATGTCTTTACACCAGGCTTCCCAGCCAGTCCCTGAGGAAAGCCCACCCGACCCGGAGTTGTGAGGGGACTAGGCAGGCCCCACGAAGGCCCCATGGCTTTTGCCCCTTCTCTGGGATGCCACTGAGCCTGCATCACAGAAGAGGAAGCAAGTTCCTTGCCCCTGGGGCAGGCCCGGGGCCTTCAGGGCCAGGCTGAGCGGCCAAAGGATGGAAACCCGAGAAACCTTCCATCCCTGGCTGTGAGGTGAGCCGAGCACTGCTGAGGAGCAGCAGTCTCTGACACTCAGACTCCCCTGTGTGTTTGGGGACCGTCAAGCCTCTGGGTCTGAGCCAGGTGGCTGTAACAGCAGAGACAGGACGAGCGAGTTGTAGCCAACAGCAGACTCCAGAGGGGCCGCTGGGCCCAGGGGACTTCCCAGGAGAATCCCAAGGGTCCACACCCCTTCCATTGCTCCTCCACAGGCAGGCTTTCACGGGAGACAAAGTGGGAGCTCACTCTCACCCCCCGCCTCCCCCTACTTCTGCTGGGGACAACAGAAAATGCAGATGGAAGGACTGTATCCTGGATTTGTTACTGACATGGTGTCAATAGCACCTTTTCTAGAACTGCATTTGCATTTATGGCCATCATTATCTATGTTTTAGGATAAGAGCTATAAAACCCAGGAAGTCAGGTCCCCATAAAAATCTGA